AAAAAAAATATATGCGCAACCTCAGAGTTTTATTATTTGTCAAAAAGGATTTCGCAGAGGTTAAGACATTGGAGTTAGTTTACTATCTGGATATATATGGGAGGGACCCTACTCGTAAAGATTATACCAACGTCTAACAGATAAGCTATAAAGACAACTAAACTATAGATTTAATAGTGGTCGGTTCTCCCAAAAAAAAAAATTTTAGACGCTGGGATGGGTCGGACTCGGGTCCGTGACGCGCCCAAAAATTTTTTTTGTCACGTTCTTTGAGATCATCCAACGACTTTGGGAGATCTCAGATAAAGATGAACATGTTACTATTAGAAACTAAAAATCCTGAATATAGAAGACCTAATTAACACTTCTATTGAAGTATAATAAGTTGAAATCAATATCTCAAATTAGATACCATGAAGTACTAGATTCAGATTTTATTGGTAGAAAATCTGATTAAAAATGCGGATATCCTTTAATCCCTAATTTTATAATAAAGATTCAACAAAAAATGCGATAAGTAAGTTACCATCTGGATATATGGAAAGGACTCTATTTATAAAGATTATACCAGAATCTAACAAATAAGAACAAGCAAACTATAGACTTATACTATTGGCATTAATAATCGTAATGTATCTAAAACAAAGGTCTTCAATAAAATCGTAAAGAGAACAACCTAATGAGTTTAAGGCAACATGGGTCTTAATAAATTTAAATCAACGAACAATATAATGGTAGACATGATGGAACATACTGAAACACAGACACTCGCAACAGTGTGTATGGCCGGCAATTTATGGGAGACTTGATTATTAGCAACATTCCCTCCAAATATATATATGAATCATAATATACCTTGTTTGAACAATGAAGGAAAGACAGATTCTTCACATGAGGATACAAATATCATTAAAACCTAACAGATAGATACCCTCAAGGCAGCCCTAATAAAGTCGTATTTTCAACTGTCGCTGTGGCAATATATCACAGCAAATACACAGTACACAACTCTATTCCATCAGAGTCGGTAGTCCATATTCAGTACAGTTTGTGATAGTCAGATGGGGGGGGGGGGTATTACCATAAAACTAGAGAATGTAAATGTATGAAGGGAAACAAAACTCTCTGTATAAGATATATATATATATAGATATTTATTAGGCAAAATTTTGGGGACATTTTATACTAGCGGGGCATGCTATTTACATAATGAACTAGGTAGAGGTGAATTAAGGTTACAAATTCGTCGTTGTATAATAGGAAAACATAGATCTCCATCTATTCTAACGGGACAAGACACAAAAATACTAACATTCCATCTTGTATTTAAAGCCCTTTTAGGGCCCATCCAAAATCTAAATGGATTAGTTCTACTTGAAAATTAAAAGGGGGAGCTGGGCCATGATGGCGGGGCTTACCTTCTCTCGGAAAGGGCGGTAAGGTCTGGTCTCCTCCACGTCTCAGGGCCGACTGCCTGGATCTCTCCTGTCACTGAGCGACTTTTTCTCTCTCTCTTTATTTAGTCAAGACGGGCCCTTTTTATCCTAGCCTCTCTTCATTTCCATTCGTTGATCATGCCAAAGTTTCTATTGGCTGGCATTTTCATTCGTCGAAAGCAAACACCCACGTGATCATGGGCATTTTCATTCGTCGGAAGAAAACACGCACGTCATCATGACCACGCCCCCAATTTACCGTGTAGTCGCGCGAGAAAAAAAATTGAATATTGGATAAAACAAATTAATCCCTAAAAATTACTTCCTTTAGGAAATTAATTAATATATATATATATCCCGAGTATATAAAAAAAATTATTGATTTACATGTTTATATGACAAATTGTTTTCCTTAGGTCACCTACTACAAAAAAAAAATGAGGGGAATATATATACATATGGTACAGTAGCTCCCAGCACGGATGTCTCTGGATGTCACCCGTGTCTTTCCTCCCCACCAGGCATCAGCTTTTGGCATGGAAGTCTGGAGTCCTCAGGTGTCTAGTTTTATTTGTACATATGCTCTTTGTACATCCTTCCAAGAAAGGCCCTGCGTCAGGGAGGGGGCCTTTAGAGCATCGTCGGCCATCGTTGGGAGTTCTCCACCTAGGCAACAAATCCTTCGGCGAGACACTGCGTATATATATATATATTATATGATGTAAATGAATGTTTACATCTTTGTTGGGTTTTGTTTAGTGGAAAAACTGACCCAACAAAACACATTTATTTTAACATTTTCCAAATCTGGCTGATGTCCCTATTGAATTCCATGCTCCACCATAACAAATCTTTCTTCTGCCTACTTCCAAGAATATTTGTATTTTTGGAGTCTGGTCCAAAAGAAGCGACCTGTTATTCCAATATAGGAAACTTTGCAACCTTTACACTGGATCCTGAATCCACGTCCTTTGTGTTCCTTATCTCCACCTTCTATTTTATAATTAAACTAGCTTAATGACCCAGCAACGCCCAGGTTTTACCCGATTAAATGTTTTTATTCAAATACTATTCGTTACAATTATAAATTGGCGCCGTGGATGTCACTCTTATGAAACGTCCCGCTCCAAACTTTGTGTCAGAGAAGCGATATTTTTATAAAGAGATGATCTGGCTTTATGTCTTCTGCTCGAGTGAATGTTTTTCTGTTAGAATTTTGTTCCTGCACACTAAAAATGAACTGGCTTCACCCGTGGTCTCAGCTTTTTGGATTTTTTCCCGATATAATTTTGTATCTGTGAATCAAACATGATACAGCAATATTCTCATCATAATTTTCTGACTAAAAAAACAACCATTTTTGCTGGAACCTGTCAATTTTATTTTTTACTAGCGGATGTGTACCGGCTCGCCCGGTTTTATCCGAGTGAAAGTTTGCCTAACGAAAATTATTGATAATAATATTGCTGAACACACAGAATATTAGGATAATAATATTCGTTACATTATATATTTATATAATATGTTTTCTTGGCCGACTGGTTTACATATGGTGTTATCTTAAAATTGCTTGTTTTGAATATTTTTTTAGATTGAGATTATTAGCTAGTATGTAAAAAAAATTAACTCTGTTGATTTTTTTTTGTATTTATATATAAATAAAATTAACTCTGTTGATTTTTTTTTTGTATTTAATCGATAACACCGAAGTTACGCATGTTAATGTTAGGAAATATATTTTGATGTTAAGCAAAACCTGCTCCATCTCGTTTTACATAAATGTTGAAAATTTGGTTGAAATTGATGCATTGTAACGAAAGTTTTTAGTGAACAACACTTATGAAATTTCCATTTTATTAATATAAGATAGAATTGACTAAAAATCCAATAAATATATTTTCCAGATTTTTCTCTATGTCCTGTCAAAACACGTTTTACATGTACATTAGGTCAGCTGATATTACCTCCCATCTTCACCGCTAGAGGCACTGCTTGTGAGCGAAAAGGCAAATTTGCAACGCAATTTGCAAATAACTCGAAGAATATTCTGGATATAGACCTGAAATTTTCACTATAAGTTTTTCCAGATTCTACTCTATATACTGTTAAAATTTCAGTCAGATTAGTTACGTATTGTGGACGTGTATGGCCGACATAGATACCCACATACATACATACATACATACATACACTGACTTTTATATATATAGGGATTTCAGACTATTGTATTCAAAGATGGTGCATTTTTGAAAATAGTGGTTATTTCTGAATTCTTCAATACATGATATATTTTCTGAACTCTACTTCTATATGGCATTATACATTAATTTTTGATATCTTTTTATCTATTGATACTGTTTATTTTATATGAATGTTTATTAAAAAATTGCTTTGTATATCCATTTGCTATTAATTATTTTTGGATGGTGTATAATTGTTTACATTTAAAATTGTTTGCGGAGAAATGTGTGAAAGAACGCTTGGTGAGAGTTTTTACTTGAGAAATTTTATGGGAGATAGGATTAAAGAAGGTTGCATGAAAGTATACTGGTGAGTAGCTGGGTTTTCTATATATATAAAAAACAAGTTTTTTGAAGATTATTTAATTATTCCTTTAAAAGTATATCCTAAAAGGTTTAGGAAGCCATTAGACTCCTTTTCAGATGTGCATTTTAAAAGGGGGTATGCGATTTCACAGCCACTCTTTGTGTTGTGACGACCTAAATTCTATAGAGGGAGTCGCTCGCCTCTATTCTTGGTCGGCGGGGTTGAAGGTTCAAAATTTTGGTGTCGCTGTTTATAACACTTTTAAAATGTATGACGAAAAGAGGAGGGAAATTATATTTATTATAAATTAAGAAAATAAGTAAAGTATTATTTAATTAATTATATATTTAAATATTTACACTAAAAGAATCGGTATCAGGGCAAATTCTCGCGTTCGAAAGTTGTTTACAAGTTCTTCTGTTATTGTTTTCTCATTTTAGCCGCTGCATCCCTTTAGCCGCTTCAATCGCCTCCCATTGGCTGCTTCGAACTCCTTCTTTTCCAACAGGGGGTGAATGTCAATTCGAAATCCCAATGTATTCTCAATATGGTCAGTAGATACAATAGCCATCACTCATAAACCTATCTGGCCTGTAATCATTAGAATATTATTGATTGCTAGTATATGTTGTTATTGAAACAGGAATATGAAAGTTCTAAACAGATATTAATTAAGAATAGGATTGTACCTGAGGTAATTTTAGATTGAAGTCTGTTAACTTTTTTCTCTAACCTTTTGTCAGCAATAATTTGTGATCTAGGCAGGTGAATAAGTTACAAACATCAAATGATTGTTTAAATTAATTATATATATGTGATAAGAGGTGCTGTCGACTTGTCTGTGATGTGATCCTGTCGACTCTTCTGCGATATAGGGGTCCTGTCGACTTATCTGTGATGAGGTATCCTGTCGACTCTCGCTATAGCTGTGGTAACCGAGGGTCAAACCTTTAGTAACCGAGAGGGACAGTCAGGGCGTGGAGAGTTTTCCAGTACCTCTCTGCACTTTGGAAGACCTTTAACAGTTTTCACAGAGTACAGGCAGTCGTGGCCGAGGCAGAGTGGAAAGCTTGGGAATGTCCACACACACAAAACGAAGAGACACAGTTGTAGTAGGAAAGTTCCATGAGCTGATAAAAGTCGAGCTAAGAGCAAGAGGGAGTTAGAAGAAGTTCTTACTGTTTACATAGCGATGAGGTGGTCCTGGCTGCAACCAACAAGGGCTCGCGCCGACGGTGAAGTGACTGACTAAGTTCGGCTAAAACCGAGGTTTTTATATACCATTCCCGAGGAGGGGGGGGGGGGTTGTGAGATTTTGGACTTTGGACGTCTTCGGCATTCTGCACCCTTTGACCTTAATGGCAACGGGCTGCAAAATTCCTTTTTAAGGTTGTCGGATTCTTCTCTCGATTTTAGACGTTTTTGAACTTCTCAATCTTGCTTTAACTCAGCTCTTAATCTATTTCATAGTTTTATTTATTTATGCTCAGTTTGTACAAAGTACATTACATATGGTGATGCAATGAAACATGTCAATCATGCGTATAATTATTTATAGATGTGTCTCTATATACAACATGACAATCTTGTTAGTATTATACAATATAGGGTTGTTGGTTTAAATTACCATAGATGAGCCCAGGGAGTGAAAGGGGTTTATCCTGGTTTAAACAGGTAAAAGCCTCTCTAACACAGGTAAGTAATTAAAATTTATTTTAATTAATTTAAACTGTGAGGGTTAAAAAGGGCTATAACAATATGTTTTGTTTGGATATATCTGAAAATTATAAAAAATAAAACTTATGTATAATTTTAAAGTTATGATATTCATTATAAAAGAGAAATTTAGATAAAACCTTTGTTTGATAAAAAAATAATGATGATAAAAATAAAATCATGTTCTAAGAGATTGTTGGTGGGCGTTGGAAAGGGTTAGGGGTTAAAGAATAGGCAATTGTAGGTATTACACATGCAATCAAATACTTAGATCCAGGTGCAAAGCCAGGATATAGACTTGAGCGTCTTCCTAGGCAATTTTTCACCTGTGATTCTGTATAAGGTTACAGTGCTTTGTCACAATTGTAAAGTTATTGGGTTGAAAAGTTGTTGAAGAAAAAGTTGTTCATTAATATGATTGTGAAAGGGGTGAAATAGAGAACCATTCTATAAGTAGAATTGTTGTATCAACAGTAGGTGATCTGACTTGACTAGAAATCAAAGGTTGATTGTGGTCCGATAGAGCTAAAAAAATTGTGAGTTGTGAACGCTTTGTGCATGCGTTGATGATTTTGCTCTGTGGATGATTGAAATAAACTTTTGAAACGTGTTCAGGCTAGAAGTTGGGATTTGTAAATCTGGGGAACTGTGTTCAAATAGTTTGTTGGAATTATGAAATAAAAAAAAATTGTCAAGCAGTACTGTCGTTTTTCTAGTTGATGTGAAGCATTAACTGAGAAAGATAGTAGTGTAAAGTACACTGAAGTGGTTAGAGAAACGATTGTTGTATGCCCGATAGTTAATGCTATTATTTGTCCTATTATAAAGGTATAAAAACAAATATGAAATGAATAAAAATATAGCAATGTGATTGTGGTTGAATAAAGTTTAAGTGAACAAAATCAAACATACAATATACACTGCGTGACATTGAAAATGGAACACCAATAAATAGTGGCCAGAAAAGTATGCAAATTTCAGGGTAGACGCGCCTAACCGAGTTATGCAAATGATGTAAAATGCGCAGCTCTCGTGCGCACATGGAGTAAGATATAAGGGAAGGAACTTGCAGAAAGGACAGTATTTGTGTCGTTATTTCTTCAAGGAAAATCATTGTAGAAATTTTGTTCTTGTGTCAAAAGACACGTGTAATAACAGAGAATGCCAGGTCATCGTAAATGGAGGCAGTTCAAGCAGACAGACGCTTTTACGAGGGGCATGGTGATCGGACTGAAAAGGGCAGGTTGGTCCATACGTCAAATCGCAGCTGATACACACCTTGGTGCGTCCACGGTGCACCGACTGTGGAGAAGATGGTTGGAACAAGGAAATGTGGCAATTTATAGGAATGCCGGTGCAACCAGAGTGACGTCAGCACGTGTGGATCGGCGTATCCTTCGACAAGCAGTGGCGGCCCCACAAGCCACTTGTACCGCCATCCTGCAACATGTGCAAGACACCCTAGATCATTCCATCTCGACCAGAACCATTTCCCGTCGATTGGTTGCTAATGGCTTGCACTCATGCCGTCCGCTAAGAAGACTGCCATTTACCCCACCGAATAGGCGCCAACGTTTGGAATGGTGCCGGGCTAGATCGACGTGGATGACGGAATGGCACAGGGTCGTGTTCTCAGATGAGTCGCGTTTCTGCTTGTTCTGTGATAGTCGCCGTGTACGCGTGTGGCGTCGACGTGGAGAAAGGTCCAATCCAGCAGCAATTGTGGAACGCCCCACCGTGCGACAACGTGGAATCATGGTTTGGGGCGCAATCGCGTATGATTCCAGGTCACCTTTACTTCGTATTCAGGGCACTATGACGGCCCAACGATACGTTGATGATGTGCTGCGACCGGTGACACTCCCCTACCTTCAGGGGGTACTCAATGCCCTTTATCAGCAGGATAACGCCCGACCGCACACTGCTCGCATTAGCCAACAAGCTCTGCAAGATGTACAGATGCTTCCCTGGCCACCGTACTCTCCCGATCTCTCACCAATCGAGCACGTCTGGGACATCATTGGACGCCGTTTGCATGCCTTGCCACAGCCGCATTCAGAAGACGAACTGTGGCAAATGGTTGAGAGGGAATGGAGAGCCATCCCTCAGGACGCCATCCGTACTCTGATTGACTCTCTACCTAGACGTGTTGCTGCGTGCATCGCCGTCCGCGGTGGTCCTACTTGCTACTAAGCCGACGCCGTTCTCGCTCTGTATTATGACTATCATTTTGAAATAATGATCACTTATTGTTCGTCCCTGTCTCTCTCTGTCTGCCGAGTTTCATCACTTTCTGGCCACTATTTCTTGGTGTTCCATATTCAATGTCACGCAGTGTATAAAAGTAATAATAATGAAGAATTAAAGTGATTTTTGACAACAAATAAATCTTTTGTAATACTAAAATAATATTATGAAAGATAAAAGTAAAAGTGATTTATTTTTTAAATGATGTTGGATTAAAACTTGTGATTATATAATTGAAAGGTTAAAAAATATAATTAAAAATATTTTATACAAAAAATAGAATATAGTTAAAGATTATTACAATGAGTAGATGAAGGTTTAGTATTTCTTCTAAAAGAAGTTACAAATGTGGTGTGTAGGTTTTATAAATCGAAAATTGAGAAGCGCAATTTATTGCTTGGATTGGTTACTAAAATGTTGTGTATTGTGATCTCAATTTAACATGTAAAATGTTTGATATGTTGAAAAAATTAGAGATTTACACAGGATTAAAATATCAAAATGTTCAATTTAAGGTAGGTCTTGTTCAAATTCAAATATCTAAATGTTTTAAAAAGTTAGGTTAAGATATCGACTGTTAATGTAGTAAAAGGGGTTGTTGTTTATGTTGTTTTGATCATTTGATCACGCAGAATGCAACTGAACTAAGTATTTATTTATTTACATATATTTTTATAACATGGTTATATATCTAAGAATGTTTACAAGTCGAGTCTGCAGTGTTGCCGGATCAACATGTCAGTTCAATCATAACATGTTTCCTTTAAACAAAAATAAAAAAAGGATTGCAGTTCTCCTAGTCTCTATAACGCAAAGGTTTTCTCACTGTTCTACCACTGCGGGTTCGCACACTAGGAGAAGTAGATGATTCTTCACCTTTCTTGGCAACGTCCTCCCTTGGATCATATGCTCTTCTGTTTTCGGAAGTGGGTCTTCCATGATCTTGTATGTTGTCATCCATGGCTGTCCCTGCTTGAGATCCAGGAATGCTTGGACTTTGAATTGTTGGGGCAGAATCTTCTACACTGAACTTTCTCGGTCTAAGGTGAGACCTGTTCCTGCGGTATTCAGATCCACTTGGTGTTTTCACCATATATGAGCGTGGAGTTTCATGCTTTGCGGTCACTGTTGCCGGAAGCCATTTTCTATGCCTTTCCTGCAACATGATGTCTCCTACTTCCAAAGGTCTCAAAATTCTCTTTGGACTTCCTGCATACTTTTGTTGATGGTCTCTCAATTTTTTGTAATTCTTCGTTGTGTCAAACAGTGGTTTCAACTGTTGTCGGGTGTATGTCGAAAGAGTTCTCACAGATCTTCCCATAAGCATTTGGGTCGGAGATGGCAAGTCATACTTAGGTGTGTTGTTGAACTCCATCAAAGCCAGATTGGGATCTCTTCCTGACTTCACAGCTTTAATTATCAGTCCTTTGATGGTTTGAATTGTCCTCTCAACTTGTCCATTAGATCTTGGATATTTGGGACTGGAGGTTTGGTGTTTGAATTCATATATCTGAGCAAAATTTTTGAATCCAGTAGAGTTAAAAGGGGGTCCATTATCCGAAACTAGAGTTCTTGGAATTCCATGAGTCCTGAAAATGGTTTTCAACTGCATGATGGTTTCGGTTTCTCTTTTGCTTGATAATTTCCGGATTTCAACAAACTTTAAGTGGTAATCGACAACCAAGATGGAACTGGTTCCACTCACCTCCATGAAATCTACAGCAATTTTTTCCCATGGAAATTCAGGGATTTCATGAGCTATTCTTGACTCCTCAGGATTCTTTCTTGAATATTCCTGACATGTTCTGCACTTTTCCACTTCATTTTCTACTTGTGTTATCATGCCGGGCCAGTAAAATGCTGATCTTGCTTTTTCTTTGGAAGCTGCTGTGCCCTGGTGTGATGAATGAACAACCTGCAGGATTTCTTTTCGAAGAGTCGATGGCACCATGATGCAATTTCCTTTGTAAACAATTCCGTCACTCACATGAATTTCATCTTGAAATTGCCAGTAGGGTTTTGCTTCATCACAGACCTTAGTTTTATATTTCGGCCATCCATTCTTCGCATACTCCATTAGTTGTATCAAGGTGTGGTCCCCATGAGTTTCCTTTTGTAGTCTCTTTATTTTTTCATCTGTGGTAACCAGCAACATGTGCACTGATTCAGTTTGACCTTCTAAATAGCTTGTGTCCACCTCATCTTTTAATGGATCTCTAGACAGATGGTCAGCTACAAACATGTTTTTCCCTGGTGTAAACTTCAAAGATATTTGAAATCTCATCAGACGTAAGACCATTCTTTGCAGTCTTGGGGGAAAGCTTTTCTAAAGGTTTCTTAACAATACTCAGGAGAGGTTTGTGGTCAGTTTCCACAATAACATCATTTCCCCAAATATAGTACTGGAAGCGTTCACATCCAAAGACTATAGCCAAAAGTTCTTTCTCTATCTGTGCGTATTTTCTTTGAGTTGCATTCAGGCTGAAGGACGCATACTCAATTGCTTGTCCCCCTTGCATAAGCACTGTACCAATACCATATTGGCTTGCATCAGATGAAATGGTGATTGGCTTGGTTGGGCCAAAAAATGTCAATATTGGAGCATTCGAAACCATATCCTTGAGTTTTTCAAAACAATCATTTTCTTCGCCTCCAAAATTCCATTCACTCTTGTTGCTTATCAATTTCCCTAGAGGTGCAGTCTTGTCAGAAAGATTAGGAATGAGTTTGCCAAGGTACGTTACCATACCTAAGAATCTTTGGACTTCAGTCTTGTTCTCAGGTCTTTTCAACTTTTGTATTGCCTCTGCTCTTGAAGCTTGAATGGCTATTCCATCTCGACTGATTATATGGCCTAAGAAATTTACTTTGTCGACAGCTATCTGCTGCTTCTTGGCATTGAGCTTGACATTATTTTCTTCCAACCTTCGAAGAACTGTTTCGAGGTTTCGGTTGTGCTCTTCCATTGTGCTTCCATAGATCAAGATGTCATCCATATAGCAAGCAGTTCCCTGGAGACCTGAAAGAATATTGTTTATGCATCGCTGGAATACCTCCGATGCACTGTTCAATCCATAGGGAAGTCGCTTGAACCGGAATCTTCCAAAGGGAGTCGCAATGGTGCACAGGTTGGTGCTTTCTTTGTCTAATGGGATTTGCCAGAAAGCTGATGATGCATCAAATACAGAGAAAATTGTAGCACCTTTCAGTTCAGAAAATATTGTTTCAGCTGTTGGCAGAATATAGCGCTCTCTCTGAATATACTTGTTCAGTTCCCTGGGGTCCATGCAAATTCTGACATCCCCAGAAGGTTTTTGTACCACTACAATAGGGTGTGTCCATTCGCTTGGTTCTTCAACTTTTTCAATAATGTCAAGTTTTTCCATCCGTTCCAATTCTGCTTTAACTTTTTCTCTAATAGAAAAAGGAATTTTTCTGCTTGGAGCAATAACTGGAGTTGTATTTTCATTTAGTCTAATCTTGTGTTCAATTGGCAGTCTTCCTATGCCTTCAAATATATTTTTGTGCCTGTTCAAAATCTCTTTTGCTGAATTGTTTTGCTGTATTTGGACAGCATCACATTTCGTAATTAGTGAAAGCTTTTCAATAGCTTCTATTCCAAAAATTGGTTGATAGTATCCATCAGCAATGAAAAATTCTAGACTTTCCGTCTTATTTTTAGTTTTGCAATTTAGTGTGGCAATTCCTTTTATCTTGATTTCATGTCCTGTATATGATGTTAGCTTTCGGTTAGTCTGAAATATTTCCAAACCTTTCATTTGTCTGGTGAATGTGTATGGCAAAACATTTACTTCTGCTCCAGAGTCCAACTTGAAACATATTTCCTTTCCATTCACTATGATGGATTTTTTCCATTCCAAAGTATGGACTACTTTTGCTTCATGTATTGACCATACAGTTTCTTCTGTTTCATCATTCAGACTTCTGATAGCTGAACTTTTACAGAAAGCTGCAAAATGATCCATCTTTTTGCATTTGGAGCATATTTTACCCCATGCAGGACAATTTTTCGCTCTGTGAGACTTCCCACACCTTTGGCATTTGAATTCTTTTTCAGATTCTTGATTTTGTTTTGGACTGTGTTTTTTTTTCATATTTTCTTATTTGACAGATGTTCTGGTTGTTCTGCATGATCTTGATCTGTTGTTTGCTTATTTCATCTGTTTTGCACATTTCAATGGCTTTTAGAAGAGTTAAATTGGGCTCTCTTAAGAGGCGTTCCTGCAAAGCCTTGTCTTGTATTCCAGACACAATGCGATCCCTTATTAAACTATCCTTTTGTGATTCAAATTCACATGATGTGGATAATCCTTTTAGTTCTGTTATAAAACTATCGATGGATTCACCATCCTTCTGGGTCGCTTAAAAAATTGGAATCTTTCAAAAATGACGTTCTTTTTAGGTTTATTACAAGATCGAAATTTTCTGCTTCATCTTCTTTTAAATGAAATGTGTTGAAAACTTCCAAGGCTTCTTCGCCAATAAAATTAAAAAAATGGCAACTTTCAGTTTATCAGGCTTTGTGGCTTTTTCTGTTGCTTTAAGATAAAGCATTAATCGCTGTTTGAACCTTCGCCAATTTTCCGCTACATTTCCATGCAAGGCGAGTTCGCTAGGCCTAACAAAGTCCATGTTTTCTTTTTTTCACTAATATTTTTCAATTATATATTTATTTGAAAAAGTACTCACTTTTCCGCTGCCACCATGTTGTTTATGTTGTTTTGATCATTTGATCACGCAGAATGCAACTGAACTAAGTATTTATTTATTTACATATATTTTTATAACATGGTTATATATCTAAGAATGTTTACAAGTCGAGTCTGCAGTGTTGCCGGATCAACATGTCAGTTCAATCATAACAGGTGTGATATAAAAGGAATGTAGAACACAGCCCTCATTTACTGGAGGACGAGATAGGTGAAGGGTGGCGGTGGATTTATTGACGCGGGAATAGCCTCGAGATCTTTAGTCTATCGTCATTGGGGCCTCTGGTATGTTAACTAGCGGTGTCCATTTTTACGATGGGGTGCGATGTGTATTGTTTTTGAAGGGGGAGATATGGGGTTGTCTACAGCGCACGAGAGTTAAATTCTTTCTCCTCTAGTTTGGATCTGGTGGGTTCAAAGAAATCTTTATATTGTGTGAAAGAGAATAAGTAAGAAAGTAATACAGATCCAATTGGGTTGGTAGAGTATGTAGATAGAATAGGTTTGTGAATTTAACGGGAAATTTTCTGGTCGCTATTTGAGGTTTGTTTTAAAACGATCGATATTAAATAAATATTGATTTAAATGTAGGAATGGCTGGGAAGTTTGAGGCGGTATAATTCCGAATAGTTGCGTCTCGAAGATATCTGGAGTCAAATGTTTAAATTTACTGAGATATACATCTTGAGACATTCGCTGTGGGTTTTGAATAAATCGGTTTTGTGGAGGTGTAATGTACAGAACATTCTCTGTGTAAATTTTAAATTATTGACATGTATGGTGTCACTGTCTCTATTGAGAGGTTAATTGGGGCGATCTATTCGAACGACATTGGGTGAGATTATTTCAATTATTGTATATGGTCCAGTAAAATATGGTGCTAATTTACCTGTGTCGGGATGTCTATAATTTTTGACCAAAACAAGATCATTCACTTCGAAAGCGGTGTTCTGTGCTGCTTATCAAATGTTTCTTTATCTTTTTTATGCTTATTTTGGGTACGAGAACGTGCTATCTCTCTAGCTCTAGTTATTTCGGGGTATGGGTTAAGATGAGTTTTTAGATCTGGGGGGACAACATTGAACATTAAGTAGGTGGATGGAAAACTTGTGACAGAATGGGGTGTGCTATTATAAGTCTGAGTGACGCGTTTAACTAGTTGAGTCCAGGAAGCTTTCGGATTTTCTAGATAAGCTAGTCTGAGTTTGCCTGTAATGGTGGCATTTAAGCGTTCTATTAAACCGTTTGCTTGTGGGTTATTGCTTGTGGTGAGTAGAGGTTGTATTTCATGTGTTATTAGAAATTTATGGAATTTGTCTGAGGTAAAAGCGGGCGCTCTGTCAGATAACAGACGTTTTGGAAATCCTTGTTGTAGTACAGTTTTGAGGGTTGGAATGTACGTTAGGGTACTGGTTTACTGGTTAAACTCCCTTTGAGAGTGGTGAAAGCTTGTTGGCAGTTTAATGTTGCATTTGAAAGAGGTAGTTTTCTCGGTGCTCGTAAGTGCTGTGTTTAGACGTTGTTGCGGACTTAGTAAAAATTATTATTCAATGATGTCAGGTTTAGATGTGAGTAAAAGTGCGACTTTCGACGTGGACATGCTTTGGGGTGAGTTGTGTCACAGGCATGAAGGCGTCTTTGTGGCCTGTTGTGCGAGAAAAATTGTTGTGATACGCTGTGTGACACGAGCGAGTGAATTGAATGGAAAGGTGTCACGTGAAGTCTTTGTTTTTGGTACAGCATCTAACTTGTTTCAGCATGAATAACAAATTTACTAGTCATTGGTGGTGGTTGCACAAAACACATCAAGATATTTTGGCTGTTAGTGGATGTGGCACGTTTAGTGGCGACGATATGGAGCATGTGTGGCTCGATATTGGTTTGTTGCTAGGTCGCGCGCTAATAGATGGTGGCCAATTGGAGAAAGTGAGGGGAGTGTGTTGTAGTTTGTTGAGAGAGATGTGTGAATGATTAATAATTATGCTGTAAAAAGAAAGGACGAGGGAGTGAAACTGTGTTGGATTTTTAACTTGTTTTTAGGAAGGACAGTTACTTTTCTAGTTGTGATTTTGAAGATATTGTATCTTTCGATTTTTGCAATTTAAAAAAAAATGCGTTTCACCTATGTTTATTAGAATTTGAATATATTTTTCAAATCGTTGATTATGGTAGTGCGAAAATTATCCTTGTAAAATGGCAATGGCGTGATAGTGACATATAATTTGAATGGGGCTTTCACATAAAATAGTGAACATAACAATGATTTCTGTAAAGTTTTGAGTATTTGATTAAGAAATTGGTGTTTTGGTATAAAAATAAGATATTAAAAAAAAACACAAATAAGTTTAGAATTATGATTCGAGTAATTAAAAATAATGATTTTTTTCTTATGTAAAATTAAAAGTAATGAATTAAAATCTATAAGTTGCTTAAAATAAAGTAAAAAATTGATAAATGAGGGTGTACAAGATTTAAAATTTGAATTGAAATGAAATAAAAATGGTAAAAATTGATTTAAAATAATTACAGTGAAAGTAAACATTAAATTTATGACAAATCAAGTTGTTAGCATGAGGGGAAAGTTAAGTAGGTTTTAAAAACTCACAGTTTTGAGGATTGTTCAGTCAGGAGACTTGGTCTTTAGTTGTTGTCCTGCTGATGGGGAAGACGCTCTATGTAAGGCTTGTAGAAGCTTGTAACTTCTGTTTGGTGATGGTGGCATGTCGCCTGGAAAATGGTTGCGTTGTAAGGCCGAAGGTGGGGAACTTCTCACCGGCTTAATTTGCGGGATTTTCGGCTGTGTCGTTGGGGGGTGATTGCTTGGTCGTTTCGTTGGAATGGCGTGCTTGTTCCTCCATCTTTGCTCTTTGTCGCTTCTATCTGGACAGGCTTCCTACCTTCTTTGTTGTGGTCTCCTTCGTTGTGGTCATCCTGTCGACTCTTCTGTGATAAGAGGTGCTGTCGACTTGTCTGTGATGTGATCCTGTCGACTCTTCTGTGATATAGGGGTCCTGTCGACTTATCTGTGATGAGGTATCCTGTCGACTCTCGCTATAGCTGTGGTAACCGAGGGTCAAACCTTTAGTAACCGAGAGGGACAGTCAGGGCGTGGAGAGTTTTCCAGTACCTCTCTGCACTTTGGAATACCTTTAACAGTTTTCACAGAGTACAGGCAGTCGTGGTCGAGGCAGAGTGGAAAGCTTGGGAATGTCCACACACACAAAACGAAGAGACACAGTTGTAGTAGGAAAGTTCCATGAGCAGATAAAAGTCGAGCTAAGAGCAAGAGGGAGTTAGAAGTTCTTACTGTTTTACATAGCGATTAGTGGTCCTGGCTGCAACCAACAAGGGCTCACGCCGACGGTGAAGTGACTGACTAAGTTCAGCTAAAACCGAGGTTTTTATATACCATTCCCGAGGTGGGGGGGGGGGGGGGTTGTGAGAATTTGGACTTTGGACGTCTGCGGCATTCTGCACCCTTTGACCTTAATGGCAACGGGCTGCCACATTCCTTTTTAAGGTTGTCGGATTTCTCTCTCGATTTTAGATGTTTTTGAACTTCTCAATCTTGCTTTAACTCAGCTCTTAATCTATTACATAGTTTTATTTATTTATCCTCAGTTTGTACAAAGTACATTACATATGGTGATGCAATGAAACATGTCAATCATGCGTATAATTATTTATAGATGTGTCTCTATATACAACATGACAATCTTGTTATAAGTATTATACAATATAGGGTTGTTGCTTTAAATTACCATATATATATAAATTTTGGAGTATTTCTTCAGGATTCTGTTGAGGGTTCAGACGAGAATCCTCATGTATCTTCGAGCCTGGCGGCGGGGACTGGCCGCGACTGGAACCCATCGATTGGGTTCCCTGCGCGCGGCAGAGGTTATTCACTTCTGGCTGTGTGTAGGATTCTCCTTTTGTTCTGGCATTGGTAAAAAATAAAACAGGTACCAAGGGAGCGTACACGACTCAGAGTGGATTATTGGCAACACAAGGGCACATCACAACATGGTGACAGATCGTGAAGAACCCAAGTAAGTGCTTTTTTAAATTCCACTCTTGTGCAACCAAAACAGATATTGAATCAAATTTCTTCCTTCTGCCTCCTTACTTCAGTTTTAACACCAAGGATTGGCCAAGCTGGAAACAGCAATTTTCCTGATTTAGAATTATCTCCAACTTGAACGCCAAGAAACAAGAATATCAGATCACAGCATTGATATATCTTATGGGAGAGAGGGCTGAGGAAATCCACTCAGCGCTCAATCTCTTAACAGATTTTTGGGTCCATTTTGGACTAAGACCCAACAATGAAAACATTATAAGTGTGAATTTGAGGAGACAAGGTTCTCGGCTGGATGTTGGATGTGCAGGATACCCTTTGACTGGATTCTGCAGACCACTGGCACATCATGCGCTGATTTATCATGTGGCCTGAAAGAGTGTCCAGTGACTGAATCATCCTACAGCCTGGGAAGAACCTTTAATGGCCGTCAAATTGCACCATCCAATTTTTCTTATGCATGCCTTATTTTGTTCTTTTATGTAAATATTTTTTATGTTGGCCTAGGCATTTTTTTGTTTAAAAGTTGGAGTAGATTTTAAATAATTCGTCTGAATTATTTATTAAATAATTTCAAAATCATTTTTGCAAATTGGTTTTATGATTCATGGGAATTGTTAAATTAATTATTCTTTTCCAAATATTGGAATATATTGATTTAAATAATTCTCATGAATTAACTAATTAATTTGTAATGGAAATATAAATTTCATATTTTATTTCAGTATATATATATATATATATATATGTAGTATATTTTGAGTTAGATAGTTCACAACCTTCTTCTGATATTTATTATAACCCCATATCTATATAAAATATGTATCGACCTTGTAACAATGGAAGTGACAAATAAACAAAGAGGCAGGAGGTAGACCAGACGACGCCATAGACCAGACGGCGACAATGACATGGCGCCAAGAAAGTGGCGTGATTACAAGAACCAATCAGGACTCACCGCCAAATGCGGGTAGCCAATATAAAAGGGCCCAGAAAAGAGACAAGATAGCTGTTTTCAGAGTGACGCCGTTATATGGTCGGTCAGATCTCTCACCCCCCCTTCCATCCGTGAGTATGCTTAGGGCATCCGCGGCGCCCTACACTCAGGCCCTACACAGAAAGCGTCCCTCATATATCCTGATCTATTGATAAAAGTATTCGCAATATTAACTCGACTAGAAAAACATTTGGTACACAGGCGACCAGTTCGAGTTTTTTTTTCTCAACGCTCGGATCATCAGTACAACCATCATTTTTACCATTTTATTACTTTTTTTTTTCAATTTAATCCGAGCTCAATCATTGGCAACAGGCAACTCTTGACTCCACCTTTCCCACTTCTCCACTTTCAACTTACCTACCTCCCCTGTCTGATCTAATGTTGATTATGAAAAGTCTTGGCAGTTCGGTCAATGAAAACAATACCTCACTTACACAGGCACGTATTGCATTGCCGAACGTCATTGCAAAATTCAACTCAGACTTCCCCTCTTTTACCACTGCGTCACTCTAACCCTTCAGATATCCATTATAAGTTTATTTGTAACATTTTACTACTCTCTCACCATGTGAGACGTCTCTGAAATTATAATTAAGAAAAGAATAAAAAACAATTCATAATGGCATTTCAATTTATTTACCACATTTGACTTTTCCAAACATCGTCTAATTTGCGTTTATAAGCATTGCATCACGTGGGGAACACACTAACCTAAATACTTACTAAATTTTTAAATCTTATTCATTTATATTTTTACGATCCTTGATGTGTGCCATTTTATATTTTAGAATCAATCCATATATTTTAGGATATTTCTTTTACATTAAGATATTTCTTTTCCTTCCATCCCTAAACAGTTAAAAACATTAGCCAACCTATATAAACATCACCTGAAACCTTATATTCTTTGACATCATTTGTTTTAATTTTCCATGGCCTACGTCTAAGCTAATTTAACTTAAAAATTTTGTTTTAACAGTGACGCCTTATACCAACTGTCCCTTCTTATATCTTGATCCTTCCAATTCTGCCTTCCATACTTCTCTCGTCTCTTGATCATTTTCCATTGGCCTTCTATGCCATCATTCTAACCACCCCTCGTCCATCGCAGAGTTCCTGTTTGCCGACTTTTTTTTTTATTGATTTGTCCCAGTGGACTACTCCTTCCTCGCCATCCCATCCTGATGGTGTGTTCAGGAAAATCCATGGCTTATTATTTTTTTTATTTACACCCGGGTCACCGTCCCAAGATTCTTTATTTCATTCTTT